TCTAATTCATGCATAATTTCCCCAAAAAAAGAGACAGAAGACTGCCTGGAGGGTCACCTGTTTTAACCACTCGCATTAATATACAGTAGTGAGTTGTCTGTCAGTCAGTCAGTAAGTAGACACTAAAATGATGGCACATAAGGGGCGCTTAACGTTGCAATTTGTACTGTCGCGTCACGAGTAAAACGTGCGCATGCTATGAATCACGAGAAAAATTATGCACTCTGTAGGCTACAACACAGCATGGCATATGAGCTTCAAAAGCAAGAAATAAAAATATTTGTTACTCTTAATTTTGGTTTTATTTACTTTTGAAACAGAACACTTCTGAGGACCATGTGGAAGTACATCTAGTTCTTCCCTTAGTTTCCAACTTTTTATCTTTCTTTCCTTATTCTCACATTAATATTGTCCTTTTCCTGTTTCATTTCACTTTTTCCTTACTTGATTAATCATTTCTTAGCTCTGCTTTCCTTCTTTTTTGTTCTTTAATCTCTTTATATAAATATAGCTTTCATTCCTTTGTTAGGCCGAACTTTCATTGTAGTAGACTTTCTTTTCCGCCTTTATTCTGTGTCCTTTTCTTATTTTTCAATTGGTGCAATTCACAAATCGTCCTACTTCAATTGACTCCCAGTAGTGAGAATAAAATGATAGCTAACTTTTGTTGTGACCTACTTTTTACTATTATAGATTTTTCTGGTTTATCTATATCTATATATGATTTTACCAGATTTACTGACAACCTACATTTCATATTTTTCTTGTATTTTAGGTTAACTTTTACTTATGTATAGTTTTAACAATACTGTTTTAGCAATTACACTTATAGTAATCACGAATATATACGGGTGCTGTTGAACTATACTACCTATTCTAATAATTACTATTTCCTCTTTATGCATACACACATAAATAAGCTTTCAACCAATACATAGGAGAACAAATACAATTTAGAAACCTGACTTGCAATATCGTGTTGGTTGGCTTTTTTATATCACCCAGCGGATGGACTTTGAACTTGATTTTTTTTCTCTATAGTACTTGCGTACTAGGAGTTTAAAAGATTCAAACTAAATGTTTCTTAAAATATTTTCTGTATCATGATGATATTTATATTTTGTATTTATGGCAAAGCTACTAAGGCTATCTTCCGCTGTCCCTAATTCTGAACTATTGACCAGAGGGAATGCAATCAGTCACCAGCACTCTACCACCCACCATCTACGCTAAGGGATTGACTGCCATTTTTATTATAATGCACTGAGAGCGTAATATTTTGTAGTATTCGAACTGGAGACGCCATCTCTGAAATTCAGAGTTCTAACACGGAATCAATCCACGACCTGATAATGATATAAATCTGTTACCTTCGTGTATAGAAGTGATATACATTTTTGAAAAATTACTTTCAGACCTTGTTCTGAAACAGAGAAACTTAGCACTATCGAAGTTGATAGCTTTACACTTGTTTGATCTTTTGTAGAACAGGTGGTTTCAGGTATCGAAACCTTTTAAATCCTCCATGACATCATCATAAAGTTATAAAAAAACATGACTTGAGTTACTTTCGAAACTAAAAACACAGTCTATATATAACTTTCTTCGTACGCATGAGTGCAAGGATGTGTACTTACATCCCTTAAAAGTGCCCAGTGAGTTAATTCCCACTCGCAACATCTTTAACATCTGAAACCTAAGCAATCGCCAGGGCCTAGTTTATGTTCGTATGGAGCAGCTGGCTGATTGATACTCAGTTTCCAACGGAAAATTAAGCGGGAAGGATCTTTACAATGTAACGTTCTTGTAACTTCTGCACTGTATGTGTGTCACAGCGGCTTTTCCTCTAGGATCAATATGAAGCACATCGGTAAGGTCTATTCGGCTACGCTACTGCGTTACGTTATAATAAGGAGCTTTTATCGATTCTAGCTATGGGAGAGTGGTCCAGTACTTTCCTCCCCACGCGCTGTTTTATTACCATCGCTGAACAACAAAGAGCGCGAGAAGAACATAAAATGCCCCGGTTTTGTAACAATATTGTCTCACCAGCTTCTTAACTATCAAAAATTTGTTCGATGACGAACAGCATAATCACGACAAAAAACTTTCTACAATGCAAGCAGCCCCCATGTCTTGGTTTATACGTTAAAAAAAAACTAAAATTTTATTAGTTTTAAAATACGGTTGAAATTCCGTTGGGTGAAGCGTTTTATAACGTGTTAAACTGTTATAGTCAAATTTTACGTGACACAAAAAATTGCATATAAGTGTGACGGATATATATATATATATACACATATAACTTAGTAATTTTTTAAACATACAGCATTCAGGTGGCCATTCAAGCAAAGTTAATTATCTGCATACCATTTTTCTGTTCTTATAAAAGTATACTGATTTCCTCCCTCAAGACTTTCATTAAAGAATACTTCCGTATGGGCAAAAAACGTTTGACTTTCTTTTATATACACATACGGTCCCCAGAAATAAAACACTCTTTTTATGTGTCCAAGCAACAGACATACAGGAAACGAAAGATATTCACATGAACGACTACATTAACAGGACATAAGAGAGAAAGTTGGGCCTCAAACCTTGGTTGCAGTACTGTTGTTGAATCATAACAACTTACTTGATCTTGGGTCTGATCACACACACAGCACTAATTTGTACAAAAGCTTTTCAGAAAAGGAGCTGAGAGAGAGACCATAGGAACGTAGGACATTCAAGTTCATCCTTAAACCATAATTCCATAAATATCCATAAAAAAGTGAAATAATTCCCGAAGAACTCCATATGATCTCTTTTTAACAGTTTCACAGAGAGAAATGGACATATAACAATTTCCAAATGCAAGGCTAAAGAACCGATTGTTTAGCATTAATACATATAATACTTCTCTTCTTTCAACCATTTACATATTGTCATGCCCGTAATACCCACATGGATTTTATTATTACTAATGTAGTACAAAGGCTTATATTATTACACTGATACCCACAACGCTTCTTTTATTATTGTGCAACACACACAAGGCTTCTTTTATAACTGTGATACACACAGGGCTTCTATTATAACTGTGATATGCACAAGGCTTCTGTTATAACTGTGGTATACACGAAGCTTCTGTTATAACCGTAATATGTACGGGGCTTCTGTTATTACTGTAATATGTACGGGGCTTCTGTTATTACTGTAATATGTACTGGGCTTCTGTTATTACTGTAATATGTACGGGGCGTCTGTTATTACTGTGATACTCATGGAGCTTCTGTTATAACCGTGATACACATGAGGATTCTGCTATAACTGTGATACACATACAAAGCTTCTGTTATAACTGTGATACACACGGGACTTATTACAACATAAAACACAAATACAATACTTACAGACATAATACAAATAATACATATGTTGTTACATCATAATACCCAAAGCTTCTGCTACACATCTGTAATACATAGATTCCAATACTATAGCCATATTTTACCCACACGGCACGGATTACGTTATTACAGTCAAGGCCTGCTTATCGATACATATTACAGACGCTATAATGAACAATCTCATAACAGTAACTAAAATAATAATCAATAAACATCTAAAATGTTACATGAACGCATTGAACAGATATTTATATCAGATCTGTAAGAGTTAAAGACATTTCATTTTATATGAACATAAACACCTGGTTACACGTGTTTTCTATTGAACCACGAGTGATGAATATTACCCTCTACGCGAAACACACTCAGAATCAAAATGAAGAAGTCAACGTGAAATATAAATTTTTCAACGTCATCGTTACTAGTCCACTTTTTTTTTCCTTTGTTTCTATTTAATTAAATAACGTACGAATATCAAAAGTGCTATTGTTGATGATGCAGTAAGTGTTAACAAGCACAACCAGGGGTGTGTTCCTTTGAAACAAGAGACAGAGTAATACAGATATGGACATAAAGAAAACAAATGGTGACGAACGTTCACGTGATGTGTTTAAGTTCTAATAAATCAATGGACTTTCGACTACATCACACTACAAATATTCTACTTTCTCATCAGAAATTTAATAACAAAATCGTTAAATTAACGGCCACACCCATGTAAAAAAAAAGTGAGTACTCTATACTTACTGTATGTTTTTCAATGAAATTCCGTTAGCTATTAAAGGTACTTTCTACTGATACATTCTCATCAAAAAAGTAAAAGCACTTAATTAGAAAAATTTTCTTTTCAATGGCGAATATTTTGCTTGATTTTATGGATTTAATATAGTCACCAAGTCCAGATTTTTTTTTAAATATTATATTCATTCAACAGCTTCTTGAGTATATTAATATAACTCTTAATATCGAGATGATGACATAATGGACCATTTTAAAAAAATGTTTAGATGAAAAACCAAACATTATTTAAATAAACTGGCATAGTCATAGCATGTGTCACTAAAGTAACTATATAAAAGCATAAACGGTGTTTATTTTTAATTTTTAGGTTCTTTACAATGGTGAAGTACGGGATAATGCAAAGGTTTGAAATGGTACTCTTGTACGGGGATAATCATAGATTCTAACGCCGAGTGGGCGACGAATTTCATTTACAACAAAACAGCTTTGCTAAACTAAAAGCCACTCAACTCGGTGTAGAAGTTTAAAGACTGGAAATGTCTGTGATCGTAGGCGATCAGGCAGAGAAGAGGCAAGAATGTTTTGGTACTACTTAAACGCTGAAAGCAAGTAGTTTGAAAAAACATTTGTAGGCTTAAGTTTGTTCAGCAGCTAATACATGAGGTTATCCATGCTTGAAATATCAAAACGATTCTTCCTTGTTGTTGCACATGTAGAATAAGAAGTGTCAGTCAAGCCGATAAAATGTTTAACTGTAAAATTGGTGATAAATGTTGTTAGAGTTGTTTATATCCAGGCCTATCTGGCGTTTCGTTCAAGGTGTTTATATTTTTTAACTTAATAAACAAAATGGTTAAAAATCAATACTCACTCCGGGTAACTATGGGCTTTCTTTTTCTTCTTGTTTAGATTTGTAGCTGAAAATAAAAGACACTTGTATAATTTCTTTCCTTGCTGTTAAAACAATGCATTTCACAATCAAACTTACTTGAAATAATATATAAAAAATATATAAAAAACAAACAATGGAATATTTAATATTTTTTTAATATGATCATACTAAATGTTATTAAAGAAAACATAAAGGTTCATTCAAACGTTGTCGTGGCAAGGCTACGCATTGGTCAGAATTTGATCGTGTTTTTAAACTTTTAAAAGCCATTGGCCTTTTAAATTATATTTAAATCGTTTATCTGAATTTTGGACATTGTTTAGTTTTAACTCAGTTTATTTTGACATTTTATAATAATTTTATTTTACCGTTTTAACCGATTGTTTGGCGCAGATAGCCTAGTTACTTTGCGCCAAAAAACGGCAAACAATCAACAAACAATCATTCAAACGTATTATTGATTAAAAAAGGAAACGTAAACTTTTAAAAACAGAATCATGCTGTGGTATCAAAATTATGATCAAAACCTGAAGGTGGAATTCGACAAGCAATAGAACAAAGTAAGAGAGTTTCACTTTACATGAAAACTCTTTGAAAATTCAGATATTACTTATTTACAATCAAAACTTATCAAACTCCGTGCAATGATAACTACAGGAGAATGAAAACTGGTAAAAATATTAATCTTAAGATATACATCTTCAGCGCACCTATCCTTTCCCAGTCGAAACTAAGTTACTTAAATGCCTGCTTTTGTTTCTCCCTTTATAGGAATGAATTATGTAAAAACAACAACGAGAAAAAACAAAGACGCTAAAGCTAAATCTTTGTATTGAGTGCTTTCTGTTACTCAACATCACATTTCCCGTATACTTGTCGTTTATTAGATATATATTGTTGAAATTTAGGAACATTTCAGAGAATTTTGGAAACAGTGACATTTAAAAAAAAAACCAACAAAAAAAAACATTACATTTCTTTAAATTTCTGGAATACAACCTCAAACTGTCGATTTGTAAAATTCTGAATATTCAAGTAAACTGAATGCTGGTTGAATAATTTTCTTTTTCGTGATCATTTTTAGCTGAATTAGTAAATGTTAAGCCTGGTTCTAAAAAAGAACTCTCTGACACAATATTTTAACTCAATTTTATGACTTTCTAAGGT